TCTCTCTACACGGTGTTCTAGTCTGCCTTCCTTGCTCTGGGAACAACACGGCGTGGCCGACGCGGAGGTGCAACCCCCATCCCCAACAGCCAGCGAGTCAAGGCATAGAAGCTGACAGCCACCAGACCGCCGAGCGATGCCAGCCACACAGGGTGGTATGAGAGATACTGGAGATTGGGAGGGATGAAAGAAGGGAGGGGGGCGGACGAAATTGGTACACAATGAGTGCGAGAGTAAGCAAAGATGGACAGGCACACCCTTGGAGACAACCCCCATTTGGAGCAGCCAGCGAGTAAAGGCATAGAAGGAGACAGCCACCAGACCGCCGAGCGTAGCAAGCCACACAGGGTGGTATGAGAGGTACTGGAGAGTGGGAGGAGGAATGGAAAAAGAGGAAGGCGAGCGGGGAAGGGAGAGGCGAAGGAAAATAGGCATGCAACGAGTTGGATATGATCAGAGTTGGAACGAGAATGCAGACAAAAATATTATCAGAGGCGCTCATCCTCAAATAAACCATAAGGTGACAGCCACCAGACCGCCAAGTGATGCAAGTCACACAGGGTGGTATGAGAGGTACTGGAGGTTAGGAGGGATTGAATGAGGAGAGGGGAAAGACCGGTTTACACGAGCATGAGTTTGGCCAATACAGACAAGCACGCCATTGGGCAGAGAAGCTGACAGCCACAAGACCGCCGAGCGATGCCAGCCACACAGGGTGGTATGAGAGATACCGGAGGTTAGGAGGGATGAAGGAGGAGATGGGGAAAATCGGTACACAGTGAGTGTGAGTGGAAGCGAATACAGACAAGCACGCCATTGGGCAGAGAAGCTGACAGCCACAAGACCGCCAAGCATGCAAGCCACACAGGGTGGTATGAGAGATACCGGACGTTAGAGAATAAATGTGAGTACGAGGGGAGGAGAACGAGGGAAAGATATGTAGAGAATGAGTGTAAGGACGATGGGGGGGGACACTCAGCCTCAAAACACTTTTCATCCTCTTGAGTTGAATTTTGAGTTGACTCAGAAGTCAACACCATTGAGAGCCACTCAGCCTCAAAACAACTTCCCATGCCCTCCCTCATGTACCCTCGTTCTATCCCACACCCTCCCTACCTACCATGCATCCCACGCCCTCCCCACCAAGAATCTCGCCTGCATGAACGCGCGGTGCTGCTCCCATGCCATGCGTGCCGCTCCCATGCCATGTGTGCTGCTCCCACCACTCACCCGCATGGCCTCCCATGCACAGCAGAGGGGTGAATTGACTGCGGGCCATCACTAACCCGCATGAGTCGTGTTATGAGTCGACTCAAAACATGAACGCATGGTACTGCTCCCATGCCATGTGAAGGCCAGGCACAGCAGAGGGGTGACTTGACTCCGGGCCATCACTCACCCGCATGAACGCGTGGTACGTCTCCGACATCCCGCTCCCCCATCCCGCTCCCACATCCCGCTCCCCCATCCCGCTCCCCCATCCCGCTCCCCCATCCCGCTCCCACATCCCGCTCCCCCATCCCGCTCCCACATCCCGCTCCCACATCCCGCTCCCACATCCCGCCAGCAAGTCAAAAAGCCCATCCATGGCTGTCGGTTCCCTCGGTACCTTCTCCTCCCCCACCTCCCTGTACTCCCCCCCACCCCCCCCCCCCCCTTTTCCCCCACCCTCCCCTCCCCTCCCCCACGTCATCCCCCCTGCCCTAGAACGTTCCAATAATCCAAGCCTGAGTGTTTAAGGGAGCCCCAGAAGACGGCTTCCCTGACGCCTCCCCTGGTCCTCTTACCCTAACACTCCCTTAGTCACTCTTTCCCACACCCTCCCTCACTCACAGAAGCCCCTCACAACCCTCCCTCCCAACAAAAGCATCTCACCCGCATGAACGCCTGGTACTGCTCCCACGCCCCGGCCGGCAAGTCAACAATCTCACCCCATACCACTCCCATACCACCCTTCCTTTGCTGTCCCTCCCAAGCGACTCACCCGCATGAACGCCTGGTACTGCTCCCACGCGCTGGCCAACAGTTCAACAATCCCATCCATGGCTGTCGGCTCGCCCGGCACTTTCTCTTCCCCCACCTCCTTGTAGCTCCCCCGCACAAACCGCCGCAACACCGCCGCCAAATCCCCCTCTCCTCCTGCTGCTGCTCCTGCCCCTCCTGCTCCTGCTCCTCCTGCTGCTGCTGCGTACCCCTCCCCCTCAAATTCCTCATCTACTTCTTCTCCTGTGTCATCCAATCCTCCGCCCATCCCATGCCTGCTGATCAGGCTCGGGAGAGAGGCTTGGGGGAAGGAGAACATGGCCCGGTCTCGGAAGAGCTTGAGGACAGGCTCGGAACCGACGCCGAACCTCTTCTTCAGCTTCGGGTTGGCGTCTACATCCACCTGGGATGGACAAAACAAGGGAGAGAATGCGCGAGGGAAAAAATCAGTAAAGGAGGGAAAATTCCCCAGGTGAGCGGCAAGGAAGGGCCTGCCTGCCTGGCAGGCAAATCGTCTGGCTTTTCCACTCTCTCTTCTTCATGAAGCTCTTCTAATTCCTGCTATCCTCTCTCGCACTCTCTCTTCCCTGTAAAGGTTTCCCACCTGAGCGGCAACGAAGAGCCTGCCGCGATGAAGACCGGCAACGAAGAGCCTGCCGCGATGAAGAGCGGCAACGAAGAGCCTGCCGCGATGAAGAGCGGCAATGAAGAGCCTGCCGCGATGAAGAGCGGCAATGAAGAGCCTGCCGCGATGAAGAGCGGCAATGAAGAGCCTGCCGCGATGAAGAGCGGCAATGAAGAGCCTGCCAGGCACATCCTCCGGCTCGTGCTCTCTCTCGTCGCCAAAACGCAACCCCAACTCATTCTATCTATCGCTCACCCTCTCGTCTCAGCGTAGAGTCCCCACAAGCGGCTTCTCTCACACTGCTGTCTTGTCAGAGAAAATGCCTCACCTCGTCCTATCCATCTCTCACTCCCTCGTCTCAACGTGGAGTCCCCACCTGCGCGGCAATGAACAGCCGGCCAGACACGTCGCCGACTCTTTTCTCACAATCTCTCTCTTCCCCAACTCATTTCAACTTCTCCCACTCTCTTTGCAGTAGATCTTCCCCCACCTGAGCGGCAATGAAGAGCCGGCCAGGCACGTCGTCCGCGGCAGAAGCAGCCTCCTTAAGCGACGCAAGGATGCGGTGGCATGGCGACGCGGAGTCAGCAGAGGTCAGGCAGTCTGACGTGGCGAAGAGAACGAACCTAGGGGGACATCGCGACGAACGGGCAGGACGGAAAACGGAGGGAGGCGGAAGGGGGTGCGGAAAAAAAAAAAAAAAAAGAATTGAATGTTGGAAACTCTTTCTGTGATCGCAACGTGGCTGCAAGCTTATCGCCATAGTGTTTACCACGCAACTTACCATCGGCCCGTGGTCTGCCCCGACGATGCCTGTGTATCGTGCTCGAAGGACGCGTCTGTGAGCGCGCGCACGCGGTACGGACGGAAATCGGAGGCCGCGGCGACGCTGATCAACGCAAGGAGCGAGATGAGCGAGAGGAAAACGCCCGCGGGAGACGCGATGCGACGGGGGAGCGCCGTGAATGGCGCAGTGCATCTAGACGTCGCCATGTGTGCGACGCGGAACGGTGCACGGTGTTAAAAGCCTTATGGTGAGGTATTGGATAATGGAGGTACGGGAATGCAGAGGCAACGGCCAAGTTAATGGCGGAACAGAATCAAAGCGATTCACGGAATAGAAGCAAGGAACAGGCGAAAAAGAAGAGAAGCGACGTACTTCAGTAGAGCAGAAATGATGGGATGGGAAGTGGGAAGAAAAATCTATGGCGGCTGCCGCGTGCCCTGCGATTTTCCCGCTTCTTGGGGAAGATTTCATCAAGGTGTTGGCATTTCAGTAGCGGCACGCATGTACTCGTCAGTGAGCAAATTCAAATCGAGGTACGTTTTTTATAAGACTACCTAAATCTAGGTTCTAAGTCTTTTGTGTAGCATCTTTGTTATTTTGCCAACCATGAGACTTTCTGTGGCTCCCGCCGTTCCGGCCCCACCTTCCAGAATTCCAGCATGTTCTTTCGGAAGAAACGTGTTGCTTGCATCAGATGAGTGCACGGCCCAAACAAACCTTTCGCCACGTCACTCCCGCCACGTGCTCTCCTCAGCTTTGGGGGACCACTGGCACACGCAACCTTCAACAAAAACCCCTTTCTTTCGCTAGTGTAACATGTCCTTGCTGGAAATGCGTTTCGCCATAAATATTTGTCCTTATTGCGAGATGAGCGAACATCGTTCGTTCTCGCGAACTCGGCAGAAGAGCCCAGTGTAGACTCCCAGTATGTGGCAGTACAAAGCTTCCATACCATGCCAACTTCGCCATAGCACGCTCGCTACGCCCGCTTAATCTCTAGAACCACACCAGGATCAAACAGGCTGCGTGGTTTACGGGATTAGATGCGTCGCGTGCTGTGCGTTCCGCACTGCAGGCCACGGATTGGCTTTCTCTTTGCTCTCATTCGCTGTGAGCTCCGTCAATTGATGAGGCAGTAGGATTGGCGTACGCACGTACGTGTCCCTGGCGCGGAGCGAGTACACTAAGCCTCCCGCGCTGCCTCTCGCACGCGTCTGATTCCGCGTGTCTGCTCTGTCATCCGCTCGCTCACGTGCACGACATTTTGACCTTTCTTGATTCAACATTTCTCCGCCGTAGGATCGTTGGCATCAAGGGTTCAGAGGATTTCACCAACAGTTTCACCGGACTGCCATCATGATCCCCACCGCCGCCTCCTCCACTAATACCACCGCATCTCCCGCCGCCTTTTCCGCACCCGCTGCCACCGTCGCGTCACCGCCAGTCACGGTTCGTAACAGATCACCTGCCGCATCGACAACTGTTCATTCAAGCTCGTGTTTGGCACCGGTGGCGACAGGACACGTGGCCACGCCTGGCGACGTCGCAGGCTGCGCGTGCGACGTCGCACGGAACGACGAAATTGCCGGTGTGCGGGCCGTGCCGATGCCAGTGCCGGGATCTAGCTGCGTAAGTAGCTCAAACGGTGCTGCCGCGGCGGCTGACGTCAGCAGATTAAACCCCGACGGTTCAGCGGTGCAATTGTCGACTGCGGCAGGCATTCCAGTTGCTTCGACAGGGGGGCCGGCTGTAGTGGCCTCTGCGACCCGCGTCGAAGCGGGTGCAGGGGGTGCAACGAAGCCCGAGGGCGATCTGGGGTTACGGGAGAAAGCTTTGGCGGCGGGTGCCGCAGCTGTGGTGTCGGCCGTTATTATGAACCCGCTGGACGTCGTTAAGGTACGCTGGTAGTGTAGCTATGCTGTTGCTGGTAGCGGAGCATCCATAAAGTAAATCGGTTTTGTTTTTTATTCAGATAATTCTCATGTCTATCGTCTTTCTCGTCCTCTTTGCCTCGCTCTTCGCCTCCCCCCTCCCCCTCCCATTCTCAACGCCCATGCAAACCACATTCCCCCCTTGCGCCACTCCCCCGCCCGTCCTCCCCCCTCCCCTGCTTCATTAGACGCGGCTGCAGGCGCAAACAGCGTCCGCATCTCCCCGCGCCCCCGCCCGCCCGTTGCCACTCGCTTCCACCTCCCCCGCCGCAATCACATGTCGTGCGCTCTACCCCTCCCTCGCCGCTACAGTCACATCCGCAGCTCCGTCAGGCTCAGCCGCCGCTGCCGCTACAGCCGCTTCTGCAGCCACTGCTGCTACAGTGTCCGCTGCTGCTACAGTCTCTTCTGCTACATCCACCGCCGCTACAGCCGCTGCTGCTCCAGCCTCTGCTGCTACAGCCTCTGCCTGCTGCCGCCCCACCAAGTTCTGCTCGCGCCATCCAGCCTTCCATTCGGCTGTAGCCGCTACAGCCGCCTCCGCCCCCTCCCCCGCCGCCTTCTGCTCCCTCCACCGCGCCCTCTTCCCATCTGCCGTTTTTCCGGCTGTAGCGTTCCCGGCTGTAGCCGCTACAGGCGCTTCCGCCCCCGCTGCCGCGGCCGCCGTTCTGGCCCGGGGCGGGCATATGCACGGCCCTGGGGATTTACGGCGGGCGGCAATGTCTGTCTGTTGTGACGTGGCGGGATTGTACGGGCATGTGCATGGCGGAGTGGCTGCCGGTAGTGGAAGTACCCACGGCAATGGGTTCACACACGGGCATGGGCATGGGCATGGGAGCATTCATGCAAATGTAACCCATCTGCTGCCGAACCAGCACCAGCAGCCATATCAGCATCACCAGCCCCACCACCATCTCCCCCAACACAACCACCACCCATACCGCAACACATGGGACGTGTTCTCTCGGATAGTGCGAGAGGAAGGGGCTTTGCGCTTGTGGCGTGGCACGGGCGCCTCTCTCCTCATGGCTGTACCAACGGTTGGGATCTATCTCCCTGTGTACGATATCCTCAAGATCGAGCTCGCAGCGATGCCGATCAACGGCCAGGATCGCGCTGTGCCGGAGGCGTATGTGCCGTTGATCGCAGGGTCGGTGGCGCGTGCACTGGCTTGTGTCAGCTGCGCGCCATTGGAGCTTGCAAGGACTCGCATGCAGGCACAGAGACCAGTGGTGGGGGCAGGGTTGGGGGCAGTGGGGGTGGTAGGATCACCAGTGGCAGCAGCAGCAGCAGCAGCAGCAGCAGCAGCAGCAGCAGCAGCAGGAGCAGGAGGAGGGGCAGGAGCAGGAGCCGCAGGAAGCTTGGGTGGGGGAGGGGTAGTGGGTGGATCAAGGCCTGGCACGCTAGCGACGCTGCGGACGATTCTGCAGCCGCATTCAGGCACTCAAGGGCTGCGCGCGCTGTGGACAGGTGTTGACGCGCAATTGGCCCGTGACGTGCCGTTCTCAGCCATCTGCTGGGGTCTATTGGAGCCCACCCGGCGTTACCTGCTCAGTAGATCTGCTGACCGGTGGGAGCAGAAACAGCGGGACAGGCAGGAGTGGGTTCAGGGTGGTGCTGGTGCTGGTGCTGGTACTGGTGGTGGTGCTGGTGCTGGTGCTGGTGGTGGTGCTGGTGCTGGTGCTGGTACTGGCAGTGAGGTGTATTCTCATTCGCTTATTGAGGCTGCGGAGGAGGCTCAGCAGCTGCCGCTGCTGCAGGTGGTGGGGGCGAATTTCGCGGCAGGGATGGTGGCGGGGAGTGTAGCAGCAGCAGTGACTCACCCTCTGGATGTGGCCAAGACGAGGAGGCAGATTCAAGTAACAGGAACTCAGCTGAACACTGCTCAGACGCTGCAGCATCTCTGGAGGTGAGAAGGGGTGTGGTAGGGTTGTGGTAGGGTTGTGGTAGGGTTGTGGTAGGGCTGTGGTAGGGCTGGGTTGGGTTGTGTGCGGTGTGGGTGCGCTGGAGCGTGGCAGCAGCAGCGACTCACCCGCTGGATGTGGCTAAGACGAGGAGGCAGATCCAGGTGTCGGGTGCTCAGCTCAACACTGCAGCATCTGTGGAGGTGAGCAGCGGAGGAGGGGGGGTGGGAGGGAGGAATAATGTCCCAGAAGTTTGTTGTCTGATTTTCTGTTTGTGTGTTTTTTTGCCGCACGGTATAACTGGTGTATCCATGCCTCGTGTGTTTGTGTTGCCAATGCAGGGAGGGAGGGATGAAATCATTATTTGCCGGGGCTGGTCCTAGAGTGTTGAGAGCTGGCCCATCATGTGGAATTGTGGTCACTTTTTACGAGGTGGTGAAGCACCTGCTCAATTAAAAAAACGCTGTGACTACTGTCGCCCCATTTTTGCTGTAAACACGTTCTTGTTGAGAAGGATGGACCTTTCCTTCGTTCTAAATCATGATTCTCGCAGTTATTTCCGTATTCTCCCGGATAAAATACCCTAGGGTATTATGAAAACCACTGGAAAAAAATGGGGGGGGTCTCCTCAAAGGAAAATCCTACATAATACCCGGGTCTTGATATATGGTATATTTTTTATAAAGCAAAAAAGTTGTGAAACAAAATAAGGGGTCTGACTTGCCCATCACGTGGAATTGTGGTCACTTTTTACGAGGTGGTGAAGCACCTGCTCGATTAAAAAAACGCTGTGACTACTGTCGCCCCATTTTTGCTGTAAACACGTTCTTGTTGAGAAGGATGGACCTTTCCTTCGTTCTAAATCATGATTCTCGCAGTTATTTCCGTATTCTCCCGGATAAAATACCCTAGGGTATTATGAAAACCACTCGAAAAAAATGGGGGGGGTCTCCTCAAAGGAAAATCCTACATAATACCCGGGTCTTGTTATATGGTATATTTTTTATAAAGCAAAAAAGTTGTGAAACAAAATAAGGGGTCTGACTTGCCCATCACGTGGAATTGTGGTCACTTTTTACGAGGTGGTGAAGCACCTGCTCGATTAAAAAAACGCTGTGACTACTGTCGCCCCATTTTTGCTGTAAACACGTTCTTGTTGAGAAGGATGGACCTTTCCTTCGTTCTAAATCATGATTCTCGCAGTTATTTCCGTATTCTCCCGGATAAAATACCCTAGGGTATTATGAAACCCACTCGAAAAAAATGGGGGGGGTCTCCTCAAAGGAAAATCCTACATAATAGCCGGGTCTTATTATATGGTAGTATATTTTTTGCAAAGCAAAAAAGTTGTGAAACAAAATAAGGGGTCTGACTTCACTTCAAGATTGCTGATCAATGCCGCAAAACCGAGTACGAGGATATTGTGTGGGCCACTTGGGCGACTTCACCTCTTGGACCACTTGTAGTGGAAGATTCGCCAGCGTGGCGACAACGAGATTGTGGGAGGGGGGATATCTCGGCTGATTCTAAGTGAAAGTTCATGCAAAATTTCTTCCAGGGAGTGATTCTCGCGATATCCTCCCGTAAGGAATCAGACTCGATAACAGCTATATTAGGAATCTATAAGAAAAGGGGGGTGTTATAGAGAATAACCCCAAAAGGGGGGGTATAGTACTAACGGGGTCCGATATAACACCCACCCCGTATAAGCTACCCGGGGGTGTACAATTACGGCAGGTGTTTTATCCGGGAGAATACGGGTTACTGTGCTCTTCAACGCCTGGAGTATGGTATGCTGATCGGGTTGCTTTCTTTACCGCAAACATTTTGCTTTGTTGGAGCTCTTGCTGGCAACAATTGCGCAATGCGCTATATATTCCCGCCTCCAATTTTTTTTGCCGACGCGCTTGGTTTCTCCGTTATTGAAACAAACCAGGCGGAACGCGCCGACCAGAGTATTGACGGCTGGGCATACTTCATTGACGGTCATCTTATTACTTGACGGCGCCTTTTTTTTTTTTGCACAGATTCCTAGTATGTGCTGGGGTGGGTGGGAGCAGGGGCGGAAGTTGTTTCGTGCGAGCGAACCGCTTCAACCAAAACGCATTCTTCCCCGCTCGAACCGCATCCTGAATTGCAATTTGCCAATGTTCGACGATACCATCATCGAGAATTGCATAAATTCGTTCTGTTGTTGTTGGTTCCTCACCTCATCATTCCCTAGCAAATAGATAGTCCCGCATTCGCTCCCCTTCAGTCGCCCCTTGGTTTCTACTCTTACGCTTTCTCGTTTACCACCGTTCCACGCAGAAATACGATTTTTCGAGCGCCGTGAATTGACTCGAAATCCTCCCGCATCGATTCCGCCAAAATCCGGCGACCCTAAACCTCTAATAATGGCAACCCGAGTGTCGTTCGTCGTTGTTCTGCTGGTGGTAGCTGTCGTTGGATTTTCTCGCCCAGCCTCGGCGGCTGTGAAACCGTACTGCCGCTTCTCCGGGAAACTCGTGGTGAACAATCTCGTGACTGGGCTCACGAAGGCTGGGAACTATTCCACCTTAGTCTCCGCGCTCAAGAAAACAGGTGAGAAGAGCGGTGGCGGAAAGAGTCTCTGAGAGTTCGAAGCTGGTAGCTACCCTTTTCGCCTTAGCCGCCTCGCCTTTGCGGCGCCAATAGATATCCTTGTATTCTGGGACGCAGAGGTGTCGGCCGCAAATTCAGTTTGGCGTTTGTAGATTTGATTCAGCTGCTGCAAATTTTGTTTGGCGGCTGCAGATTTATTGTGGCGGTTGTAGATTCGATTCGGCGGCTTAACATCTCGTCCCGCACTTTCGCGCCTCTCGAGTTTCGCCGATCTCAAACCAACCGTACCGCAGATTGTGCAGTGTCTCACCCTCTCCCCTGCCACCCTCTCCCTGTCACACCCTGTCACACGACCTTCCAGGTCTATCCAAGGATCTTAAGGGCCTCACTAACTGCTACGAGGCGACGTTCTTCGCGCCCAACGACGACGCCGCCTCTGCCTCTCACTTCCCCATGCTCTCCCTGTATTTCAAACCTTGCAGGTCTTTCCAAGGACCTCAAGGACCTCATCAACTGCTGCGAGGCGACGTTCTTCGCGCCCAGCGACGACGCGTTCGTTCCTCACTGCCATAATCTTCTCCTACTCATCTCGCTCTTCTGTATGTTTCCCTTCCTAATTGCACTCCGTTCAGGTCTTAACAAGGACCTGAAGGACCTAATCAACTGCTACGAGGCGACGTTCTTCGCGCCGAACGACGACGCGTTCGCGGCGCTCCCGGACCACGCGAAGAACGCGACTTCGAATGCCAAGGTTCTGCGCGAGGTGCTGCTGCTGCACGTGGTGCAGAAGAAAATGCCTGCCGCCGCGCTCAAGGCCCTCCCTCAGGACAAGCAGGTGAGGAACGGTAATTTGAAGCGGTGTTGTGGTGTTGGAATTGGTCATGTGGTGTTTGAAGTGGTGCTGCGCGTGGCGCTCCCGGACGACGCGAAAAACGCGACTTTGGATGCTGCGCGAGGTGCTGCTGCTGCACGTGGTGCAGAAAGAAAAGAACGCCGCTGCGCTCAAGGCGCCGCCGCAGGACAAGCAGGTGATGCATCGTAGTTTCACTATATGGTGGGCGGGCTGGGCTCAAGCGGCCCAATTGCGGCGCGTTTTACATTTTTCTTCCATTCGCAGGCATCATGAGGCAGTGATATACTTCCACCGCACCGATGCTCGGAAACAACTCGACCCGTTCTTTCCGCTCTGAACACGCCCAATGTCATGATGGTATTGATGTCCTTCCACCGCACCCAATCCCTCGCAACCTTGTGTTTTTTCCTCCTCACACCCTGTGCAGTTCAAGGCGGCATCCGACGGGTGCAAGGCTCGCCTGGTGAAGGTCTCAGCTGCCGGCGCCGACCCGGTCCAGCTGCAGGCCCTGTACGTCCCGGAGGAAGCTTCCGTAGTGGCTCCTGACGTCATCTCGCTGCGAGTGATGCAGGTGCACGGGGTGGACACGGTAATTCTGCCCCAGAGCCTGAAGGCGGGCGATAAGGACTCCCTCAAGCCCACCGTGTGCTTCCCCTGGCGCGCGTAGGAGGAGTGAAGGCTCTCCGGGGGACGTGATGCAGGTGCACGGGGTGGATACGGTCATCCTGCCCCAGACCCTGAAGGCGGGTGACAAGGACTCCCTCAAGCCCACCGTCTGCTTCCCCTGGCGCGCGTAGGCTAGTGTCCCTGTCTCTCGCCAGGTGGGGTGATGCACCTTATAAGTGATGCACCCTAGTAGTGATGCATCTTGAACACTTTCAGGTCGACGCAAATGCCACAACCTATCTACTTTGGCCCTTCTCAGACCAACTGGCAGCAAAGTAGATAGGTTGTGGCAGTATGGGCGGCGCACTGCTGAATCGACTTGACATTTCCGGGCAGGCGGAGGTGAAAACTGTCCTGCCGATGCACCTGGATGGATGGGTGGGTGGGTGGGATTCAGGGTAGCTTTGAGCTCCAGTCTGACTGACTTGAGTGCGGGGGCAGCATCGTCTTAATACTGATATGTGTGGATAGCAGGCAGGAGTAGCCGGGGTGGTTCTAGGACTTGATGTGCTTGCGGTGCTATTGGTAGGTGAGAAATGCTTGCCTTTGTACCGCACTCCCCATTCATAATGTAATGCATGATACACTCGTATTCATACCTAATATTGACTCGACGATTCTGTATTTACAAGGCTGTTCTTGAAAGGGGCCAAAGCCACATCCCACTCCAATCTGGTCTGCAGCTTTGTCGACACTGAACTGAATTTGTATGCGTGAAGCATAGGTGAAGCATCCTGTGTGCGCTTGTGATGACCTTCAAGAGTTCACTGGCAGCTGCAGACAGCAGCAGGCAGGCCGCAGGTGCAACCATGGAGAGTTCACTGACAGCAGCAGGCAGGCCGCAGGTGCAAGGCCCATCTGGTGCAGGCCAGCCAGCGCACTGAATGGGGGAAGGGACAGCATCGTCCTGCCTAGGAGGCTGCATACCGGTACATACCAGCATCGTCTGGTGCAAGGCCCGTCTGGTGCAAGGCCTGTCTGGTGATGGCCAGTGCAGAGGGTGGAGGGAGGGACTGGCAGCGTCCTGCTTGCCTTATGAGGATGCATTCCGTAGGTCGATAACCCCATCTTGCTGTTTGGACTAGGGTGCAACTTCTCACGTTGTGGTTAGTCATTGAAGTATACCACATGAACGATAAACAGTGTACAGCTTATTATGAACAGCACCTAGAGCCCTTAGGCTAAAACCAAATGGCAAAACATAAGGTAAGTCTAGCCCCACTCCTACAGTTGCAAACAGTATGGGTGGGGAAAAATAGTTTCAAGCACCTTCCAGCCATACCATATCCAATCACGATGCACCTTGCGGTGGATGCAGCACGGATAAACTGCACTCTCCAAGCCAGTCGCACTCGCAAGCCAGCCAACGTTACCAGATTTTTCAAAGGAAAGCGGGGATCATAGTGAAGGGAGCGTCAGCGAGTGCAAAGTCAAGGTCGCACGCGACCCCCTCCTCCATTTTAAACTGCTCCCCTTCCACGTCCTCATAGCTCCCACACGCATCCACTCCGTTGACCCCGTTGACTGCGTTGACTGCTACTTCGAAAGCAGCAGGTGAGCCCGCGCCGCCCTCTGCCATCTCGGTCCGCTTCGCGAATCGCCCTTTCACGCGCGGGCGGCTCTCCGCGTACGCCTTCCGCGACGCGTAGCGGATCGTCTTCTCGAACCGCCGCGCCTTGCGCTTCTCCCTGTACCGCATCACGCGAGCCTCGCGCGCAAGCGGGTGGAGAGGGCCGGGGCTTGAGAACGTCGACGGGGAGAAGGGGGAAGCGGAGGGGAGGGACGAGGAGGCGCGCAGAACGACGGGGCTTTCCGCTGCGGGGTGACCCGCGCGGGATGACGACGTGGCACTGGCGTCGAACGCGGCGGCGGTTGCGGCGGAGTCGGCGGCCTGCCTGCTGCTAGGAACGAGGTGCGTGTCGGTTTGAGAGGAGACGGAGAAGGACGGGGAGGAGTAGAGGGAAGGGGAGCATTCCCGCCGGCCAGCCACTGCCGAAGCGCCTTCGTCTTGGGATTGCACTGGCACCACCATGCTCTCTTTCACCGTTTTCTTTGCCGCCGCCGAAAGGGCCGCATATTGCGTGGGCGGTTTCGCCGAGGCAAGTTTCCCGTCGACGGGCGTCGCGCTGCGGTCGCCGCCGCCGTACTGCTCGAGGTCCAGGAACGGATCCACGTCAAACAGGAGATCTGAAACGTCAGCGGACTCCGTTTTGGGATATTTAGTAGCCGGAGGTTGCGCAACGTGTGTCGGACGGTGGAGGAGGGGAAGCGTCGAGGGGACATGCGGGGAGGCCGGATAATGCGGCGGCATGTGCGGCGACATGTGCGGTGGCATGTGGAGCGGCATTTGCGGCTGCATGTGCGGCGGGAGGTGCGCGTAGGGGAAGTAAGGCGACGGTACCATCGGCCGCGGAGGAACAGAGCCAGCCATTTGCATATGCTGCGCCATATACGGCGCCATATACGGCGGCATGTGCGGCGGCATGTGCGGCGGGAGCATTCGCGGTGCAGCAGAAGCGGCTGAGTGGTGAGGGTAGAGGTGGGAGTGGAGGGGGCAGAGCCAATTAGCGTTTCGACCACCCGCCTCCGTGTTCGGCCTCTCCTCTTCCTCTTCCTCCTCTTCCTCTTCCTCTACCTCCTCCTCCAGTCCTCTCCTTGAGACGGCCGCGTTTGCCGCCGTTGGTTGCGGCAGCGCTTGTCCTTGACTCGAAATGAGCTCCTCGTGCTCCTCAGAAGGCGACGCGAACTCTGCGGCGTCATTTGCGCCAAGGAACGCGGCGGGCTGTACGCAGGCCGGTTTACAGCTTTTGATCGACGAAGGGCACTCGTAGAACGGGACGACGGGAACGCGCTCGTGGCGATTCGCGAGTGGGTTCGCCTCGTGAATGTCGGCGTCGCACGTCGCACAAAGAGCCGCAGCGTCGGCTTTGCAGGTTACCGCGGCCGGCGACATTTCGCAAACTTCGCAGACCCACACTCGCTCGTGGCGAGAGGCGAGCTTGTTCGCGCCATGCACCTTGCCGTCGCACGCTAGACAGAGATACGCCGAGTCGGCTCTGCAGAAGATTAAAGCCGCGCTCAATTGACACGCTTCGCACGGCTTCGGCATGGTTGCTGCGCGCCACAGGCGAGGTGAAACGCTATTGCGAGGAAAGAAACTAGCCTATGCGTTACTATGATAGTCAGTTGGATAAGCGGTTATCGGTCACGTGAATAAAGCCGTTGTGAGGGTGGCTGACAAACAACTGAGGAACTATGATAGAAATCGACTGGTTAATGGCATGAGAGTGATACTTGTAAGCGGGAAGAGTTGGTTGGTGAACGATGATGGAAAGAACAGAGGAACGAGCTGGCGGTTCAGTGAGTTCTCTGGGCCGGGTTGGGCGAGGCGACGTGGAGGGGTAGGCTGTGCGGCTAGCCATGCTTTGAACGACAGTGAGATTGGGTACACAGAGTCCAGCCAGCTCGCTTCCAATGGTAACCGTTCAATGGAATCGCATACGGCCGAGGTACCGCCACAGGTTACAGGATAGAACGCGGGGTGATGAGAGATAAGATGGGATTGACGATAGGGTGAGATAGAATGGGGCAGGAACGAGTGTGGCATATTGTGTGGAAGGGAGAGGTCGCCCAAAGGTCCGTGGAGTTATCAACGGGCGAATGGGAATCGACTTTTAGCAGCTTTGAGTTGATGGTGGCCGCACAAGTCGAGGATATCAACGGGCGAATGAGAATCGACTTTTAGCTCAGCGTCAACTGATTTTTTTAATCCAGGACTGAACTACACACCATCAGTTCCACCTTCACTATTGAACCGTATCGGGAGCATACCTTCACGTCGCGTGAACAACGCCTGGACAATTTTCAGGGCACTCGTGAACCGACTCCTGGTGTACCCAGGACAGGACATTGAAGCCATGCGGGTGAGAGGCGCGGTGGAACGTTGGCAGCCACAAAGCGAAAATCGGATCGTTCAGTGGCGGTGGATATCTGGGCAGGCTGCTGCAGCCCAGAACCGAACCGCGGAAGAATGCTTTTATGTCGGACGGAGTCTCTCATAGTGTATCGACGGCAGAGAGCATGGCAGACGAGCTTCCTGAGGTGGAATTAGTGGTGGGGGCAGGTCGAATCTTGTGCTCCAAGAATAGACATTTCGATGGCCTCAAGCTTTCGAGGCGCAAAAGGTCCTTGCTGCATGCTGGTGATCGAATCCACATTCCAGCCACAAATTTCACAAGAAAGTTGTTCATTTTGTTTGGTAGTGAATTTATTATCTAAAGTGAATGGTCAGGGGTGGCTGTGACCTCGAATGCATCCAGTCCACTCATTTACAGGAGGCATGCCCAGGTCACGTACGGTCGAACCAATACGGTTGAACGTGAGACCAGCAGTGAACGGCTGATAAAAGACATCTGCACGCCTGGAAAAGCAGCATGCAGTTTCATCGTTAACTTTAAAACATTTCGGGGCATCTTGATCTGAGGTCTTGATTGCAAACAAAAACCCAGCAGGAACAACAAACGATTGCGCAAACTCATTCTCGTGTACACTTGCACCAATCGGCCAAAATTCCACATTTGCTGGGCACGCACAAGAGTTTTCTACATTGACGGTGAGACTGGACTCCAAGATACTTGGAGCTAGCACCCGTCGTCGAAGGTGGTGTGACACGGCAAAGAAGTGTCTGCCTCAACATGAAGGCGCTGTTCTGTTGGAGTTCTCATCGCCGCACCGTTGGAGGGTTGGTAAATTTCGTACACGTTGAGGTGTAAACTTCTCGATTGAACAGCTCAGCCAACTCGGGTCTGCCCTTTTGAACACGGTCCGGTGAAATGAGAACCTAGGGTAACCTGATAAGGATTTCTTGATCAGCCTGAGATATGAGTATCGAGCAGCAAGAACGTGAGAAGATTTTCTTGAAATTTGATCGCGGTCAAGTGTTGGGCGTTCAAGCCTACCACGAGCAAAAAATTGGGCTGATGGTTTCTGCCCCGCACCAGTGGTGCGGAGGTGATTCCACCTCGAGAGGTAGAACCCGTGGTGCGGACCATTTGCCTGAAGAGGAAATGGTGTGGAACAAACGGGCGGTTCTGGTACAGTGTCACAAAAGTGCTGTTCTGCAGGTTTCTCGGTTTTCTTGATGCGCCCAGCTTCGGACAATGCCCAACCTGAACCGACGCACCACTGGTGCGGATGGAAGAATCCGCGAAGTCCAATTTTTGGCCAAAAGAACAGCGCCGAAGATTCTACCGCATTTTAGAATCAAGAATCTCCTTCTGCGGCTGTCTATCTCAGACCAACCCATCACTTCCACGTCACAAACACGCAAGCACCAGTCAAAGCTGTGCTCGAAAGACTCAGATCAGGAGCATCGTGACCGGCAGAAAGCCACTCTCGTTATAAGATTTCACGCATAGGAAAATGTCCTCAATGATATCCGCAAACGATCCGATAAATGGACAAGGTGTGTGCTTGAATCTCCATTACTTCAATAAAAGGCGACCATCACAGCACCACCACCACAGCCGCACTGAATGGTAGTTTTTTGTGTCCAACTACATCAAGATGGCTATCACAGCAGGCTTCGGCTAGATATAAATATAAAAGCGCAAATAAATACCTCTACATGTTTATTATCAGCGAAACAGAGGCAACATCCACTTTTGTGGCATTGGTGCTTGGTAGGGCAAAACACTACGCTAATCTCCTACCTCTACACAGCAACAGTCAACCTTCCACCTGAGGCCTTCTTGCGCTGCTGGGCTGTGGCCTGCTGCCTACTGCCCCTGACTAAGCATCTACTTGCTCTGCGGCAGGCGAGCTATCAAGCACCGCTCACATCACACATCCAACTTCACAGGTCACGCAATCGGCATATCACTCCACATCATCAACCTCCTCACCTCCCCTCTCCTCTCCTTCATCCTCACCTCTCAAACCACCCCTCTCCTCCTCATTGCTCAATCCCACCTTCTCCTCTGCTTCCTCTGCTGTTGCACCATCTCCCTCCTGTGCCTCCTCCCTATCCTCAAGCACTGATCTCAAACCAACACCCTTCTCACTACGTCCCTTCTCATCTCCCTCCTCATTCTCCTCACTACCCTCCTTTGCTGCACTAGTCTCATCACTAGCATCAAGCTTCACACTCGTTCTCCTCTCCCTCTCCCTGTCCAACCTCTCCTCTTCCGCCTCCTCCTCATCCTCACCCTCCTCTTCCTTCTCCGGTTTCCTCCCAGCACCTGCTACCCCCAACCCCTTCTCCCTTCCACTCTCCTCACTCTCCTCCTCACTCCCCTCCCCACTCCCCTCCCCACTCCCCTTCTCACTCCCCTTCTCATCCCCCTTCTCCACACCCCCTCTCTCCTCCTCCTCCCGCTCCTCCTCGTCCTCAGCGCTAGCAGCAACCACAGCGCGGGCCATAGCAGCTCGCTGCTGCCTCATAACAGCCTTAGTCAGCCCAATCTTCCTCCTGTCCTGCACACTCTCCTCCTCCTCATCCTCCTCCTCCTCCTCATCCTCATCCACTATAATCTCCGGAATACCCTTCTTCCCAATCGGTACAGTCACATTCTTCACAGTAACAGCCGCCGCTCCCTTTGCACCATTCTTTCCTTGTCCCGCCCCTCCCACTGCAACCTTCCGAACCTTCCCTGCCTGCCCCTCCTGCCCCTCCTGCTTCTTCTTCTTCTTAGCCTCTTTCTCAGCAGCCCTCTTTGCCTCTTCCACCCTCTTCCCCTCCTCAATCTTCCTCTGCCTCTCATCCTCCTTCTCCCGCCACGCCTCCTCCTCCTTCCTCCTCGTCTCCTCCTCCTCCCGCCACTTCTCCTGCTCCTCAGCCATTCTCTTCGCCTCTTGCTCCAACCTCTCCTTCTCCTCAGCCTGCTTCTTCCTCTTCTCCGCCACCTGCTGCTGCTTCCTCTCATAATGCGTCTCAGCTATCCACGCCCGGGTCGTCACATTCACCAGCGGAACCACAACGCTGCTGTTCAGGTGCAAGTGAGTGAACCCGTACGGCTTGATCACCTGGTTGTCGGCGAACACAAACGCGCGCTTCATGTGCACGAGGCACTTGGCCGCGTCGTACTCGCCCATGCTGCCGCACGGCTTGCATCCCACGAAGTGGGTCACAAACGGCCACCGGTCGTCACCGAAGCCGGCATGGAACCGCTCCATCATCTCCTCAAACCTGGGGGAGAGAGAATCAAGGGCAAGAGGGGAGACAAGGGTGATGGGTGGATGAAAACGAGAAGTTGAACGGCCACCGGTCGTCGCCGAAGCCAGCATGGAACCGCTCCATCATCTCCTCGAACCTGGGGGAGAGACGAGGGGATTTGCGAAGGCGGAAATGAGCATAACGAGTGGAGGAATAAGAGAGATGGAACGGCCACCGGTCGTCGCCGAAGCCAGCATGGAACCGCTCCATCATCTCCTCGAACCTGGGGAAGGGGAGGAACGACAAAGGAAAAGGAGAACGGGTGAGGAGAAACAAACGGAACATGGCGACCCCCCCCTCCTTCCACCCCATGCTGCCAACGCACCTGTTGACCAGGTTGACCCAGTAGCCGTGCAGGTAGAACTTGCTCTCCAGGTGCACTTGGCTGCCCCACCGCTCCCTCCCGCTCACCCTATTGACCCCGTTGACCCCCCGTTGACCAGGTCAACGCACCTGTTGACCAGGTTGACCCAGTAGCCGTGCAGGTAGAACTTGCTCTCCAGGTGCACGTGCCTGCCCCACCGCTCCCTCCCGCTCACCAGCAGCCACACCAGCGCCGACTGATCGTCCGCCTCAAACTCTGGCCGGCCCTGGGAGAGGTGAAGAGAGAGATGAGAGAGATGAGAGAGAGATGAGAGAGAGATGAGAGAGATGAGAGAGAGATGAGAGAGATGAGAGAGGGAGAGAGAGGGCATGGGGTAAGAGAAGAAACTGTTGCTGGCACAGCAGCAACAACACCAGCGCCGACTGATCGTCTGCCTCAAATTCAGGCCGGCCTGGGAGAGGTGAAGGGGGAGATAAGAGAGGGAGAGGGCATGGGTAAGGGAGGAGAACACTGTGTTGGCACACCAGCAGCCACACCAGTGCTGACTGATCATCTGCCTCAAACTCAGGCCGACATTGGGAGAGAAGATAGCGATGAAAAAGAAAGATGTGAGAGAGATGAGAGAGAGATGACAGAGATGAGAGAGATGAGTAGAACACTGCGCCCTCAACTCTCGCCTCAACGCACCCCGAGCATCACATACGTGCACTGTGCCACCCGCCTTAGAAGCTCACCTTGAGCTGCGCCGTCAGCACTCTGCCCGCCTCCTCCCTGGCTCTGCCCCTCGCGCCCATGGCGGCCCACTTGGCGAGCAGATCCAGCGACCACTGCAGGGGGGGAAAGGGTGGAAGGGGGAGAACGGGGGAAAGGGGAGGGCGGGGAGGGGGAGATGGTGGGGGTGATGCAGGGGGAATTGCGCCCATGGCGGCCCACTTGGCGAGCAGATCAAGAGACCACTGCACAGGAGGGGAGAGAGTAGGGGGAGAGGGCGAAAGAGAAGTAGATGAGAGCATAAGATGAGCGCGATATAAGCAAAGAGCAGCTCGCGATGACGTGAGACACAAAGACATCGTGAGCTGCATCGCGAGCTGCATCGTGAGCTGCATCGCGAGCTGCATCGCGAGCTGCATCGCGAGCTGCATCGCGAGCTGCATCGTGAGCTGCATCGTGAGCTACATCGCGAGCTGCTCTTTCCAGTGAGTAACAGGCCACATAACAGGCCGCAGAAACGGGAGTAGCAGGGGAAACGGAGGGGGAGGGGCAGGGCAAGGTGAGAGAGATATGCAGGGCGAGGGGCAGAAAAGGGGGGGCGCTCACCTGGTTGTTGCGCAGGAGGAAGCTTCCGGTGCTGAGGCCCACCCTGTGGTACGGGGGGACGGGGGAAGGTGGAGGGGGGCACAGGCAGGGGCAATGCGAGGAGGGTGAGAGGTTACATATGAGCGAACGATAAAGCCGCCTAGTGGAAACCGCAACGAACTCCCCCGCTCTCTCTCCTCACTCTGCTACTCTGCGCGCACCAATTTTTGCGCGCACCCATCCTCCGCTCTCTCCGCCACTTCCTTCGCTCACCAGTCGCGGTGCTTATACACGAGGTTGTCCCACCCCGGCACCACCATGCTCACGCCCTTGTACTTGCGCCACCTCGCCACTCGCGGCGCTCTATCCCTCTGCCCCTAAGCGACGCACCAGCCGCAGTGCTCTCAACCTCTTCCTTTAAACGACACTCACCAGTCGCGGTGCTTGTACACGAGGTCGTCCCACCCCGGCACCACCATGCTCACATCCTTGTACTTGCGCCATGGCAGCTCGAACTTCATGTCTGCGCGCACAGGGGGGAGGGGGAAGGGGAGGGCGAGGGCGAGGGCGAGGGCGAGAGGGAGGGGGAGGGGGAGGGGGAGGGGGTGGGGGTGGAGGAGGAGAGAGTGGGGGAAAGGGAGAAGGAGAGGCAACGGGAGGGATTGGCGGGAGGAATGAGGTCAGCGGAAGCGATGCTTTGCTCATGTCCTTGCGCATGCGCATGGCACCTCAAACTTGAAGTCTGTTTGCGCGCACGTCTGCATCGCCGTGTCACCCTTTCCTGGTAACCCGCAAGCGCCTGTTTCCCGGAAACTCCCTCCATCCCCTTCCCTCTCACTTTCGGAAACTCCCTCTACCCGCTTCCCCACTCCCTCCCCCTCCCCCCAACCCGTTCCCTTGCCGCCCACGACCCACCGTACCCGTTATAATGGAGTCCGAGTCGATCCACCAGAACCACTCTATATCGGGGTGCGCGAGCATGAGCCGGCGCAGCAGCGGCAGCTTCTCCCACATGCCGTTCATCTCCTTGTCCAGCCGGACCATGTGGTGGTATACCACCATGCCGTGCGTACGCGCATAGTCCAGCTTCGATTTAAGGAACAAGAGCTGGAAGTGGTCGCCCACGCTGTGCTCGCACGGCTTCGGCTGGGAAGTCGACACGATCATGACACGTGGCCGCCCGTCACTGGTGGAGTTGCACCCGGGATTCAAGGCTATGTGCTCCGCGCGCTGCTCGTCCCAGTCTGTGAAGGGGGAGCGGGGAGGAGGGGGGGGGGAGGGGAGAAGCGCGGGCAGAAATGGAGGAATGGGGACGGGGAAGGGGGAAACGGGGGGAGGAGGGGGGGAAGGAGGGAGGGAGGGGGACGGATCGTGAGGGTTTTAAGACGGAATGGGGAACGTTATGCACTCGGCGCGCTTCTGATCTCTACGGAGCGAGCGGGGAGGCCAAAGAGAAGGAGCGGTCAGGAAAGAGTGGGGGGTGGAAACGGGTGAGGAAGCGTCGCGGAGGCGGGAAAAGGGGCGGGGGGGAGAGGGATGGGGGGGAGGGGAAGGGGAGGGGGAGAACGCGGAAACAAGACGCGAGTTGGTTAGGAGAGAGGCGGGGTATCGAACGGGAAAGGAAGATTGGGGTTAGAGCATTTAGGCAAGGGAAGTTCGGCACATATACTCTTTCTACAAGTTACAGCAGTAGCCAGCCGGGAGTGACGGCCATACCTGTGATGTTGGGCCCGGCGCGGTACGGCGAATTGCGGTCCGTCATCTTGTCCTGCAGGAAGAGCAGCTGGCTCTCCCGCGACTGCCACGTGGCAGCGGGGGGCGGGGGACAAGAAAATGGACATTTGAGAGGACTCGGAGATTTCGGTGCTGCAGCAGCGCAGAGAATCCAACGCGGGAACGGGAGAAAATTAGACGTGAGGGAATGAGGTGGACAAGGAGAGACGGCGGAAATGGCAAAAAGGGACCAGAGGACGGGAGGCATCGCAAGCAAGTGACGGGTGGATCGCGGGGAGAAAGGACGAGTAGTCGTCGATGCGCGCATCTATTCCCATGACTGGCAATGCCGGAAAGCACGAATAGAGTCCGATCACTTCAACCCGCCCAACGGTTCGGTTATCGATCGAGCTAGAAAGAGTGCATGGCGATTTGACAGGCGGTAAAACTGCAAAATCTGCCCAGAAGAACGAATCCGTTCGTGAAAACATGAGGTCCAAGTATACTGTGGGCTATGCAGGGGCTGTTGCTACAGGGCACTATGAGCGGAAAGGGGCGAGAGAACTGGCTCGTAAGAATGGGAGAGGCTGCTTCTGTTACGGAAGAAAAACAAAAGGCTTTACGAGAGGCTGCTACTGTTACGCTTACAACTACAAGAACCCATGGGTAATAGATCCCAAATCAATAATCTCAGGATAGACATGCGCTTAGCTATCGCCGTTGTCCTACACTTCAAATCGCAGGATGGGTGTCCGTGATTGCATCCGTAACGACCAGCGATAGCGATCTGACGAAACCCGAGTCAATCAGCGGTGCGATTCGTTTCACTAGGATGAATGCGCAAGACGAAGAAGGGAACGGGCCGAATCTTCTGTCAGTCCACGAAAGTTAAACGCAAAAATCTAAGCCGTGGAATCATGAGGGGAAATTTCCTAGTCGCAACCGTCGATCCATGAGAGTTCAGCACACTATCGTAGCCATTCATCCACGCCGCGCCTCCACACGCCCCTCTTTAAGAGAATGAAACACGCACCACGCGACATCGATTCCTAAGACGAGTCTCAAAAGCTTCTCCGGTCGACATCAATACTCTATCCCGCGATCGTGTATTTTCAGAACGCGCTTCACAGGATCTTGAACAAGCAGTCGCTTCGCAATACGACCGACACGAACCTTGAGGAGGCCCTTCTCTTGGAAGGACCGGAGCTCGCGGTTGAGAATCTCGGCATCCTGAAACGGCGTGCCGAACTTGCCGGCGCCGAAGGTGCCGCGGAAGACGAGGAAGGTGATGAAGCCGCAGACGAGCGTCATCTTGAAGTTGTAGGCGACCTTGCGGAAATTCTTCATTCGCGGGTGGTTCCATACCCACCCCAGTGAGCACGACAGCCAATCGCAACACAGCGATCTTTCCGGCTTCATTGCGTCCTTGATTCAAATCGCGACAAATAACTAGAGGATTAGACTAGAGTAGCTTCTAAGTTCACAATAAATGTAGGAGACACTGAGACATTTCTAATGGCACTGCAGTAGGGGAAACGTTGGCACAAGGGAAGCCGCGCAGCGGTGGCTTCGCTTAGTTCGGCTCGAATAGTTACTGGATTGCGATCGATCGAGTGTTCTTTCAACCACAGCTAGTGGATAAAACATTCACGTGTAAAGCGACTACCGCCAACTAGTTGCCTTCTGAAAGAGGCCAGCAACAGCAACACGCTACAGCATGCGTAGAATCAAATGACACTATCGAAAGCAAGGAACAAGACGTCCTTCAACAGAAGCTCTCAGCTCCTAATGACAAGTGACCACAATCTCCCTTAATTTCCTGCCATCACTGGCGTCTACTTAACCGCTTTATTTTCTACTACAATGCTTTTGAACGTACAGAACCATAGAGAACCATTGAGCACGCTCGATGATTCCCTGCCAGTCTCCTGAGCGCGCTCTCACCGCCACCACACACGCCTGATGTTCTCGAGAAGAGCAATGTTCTTTCCGATCGCAGTCGGAGACCATACCCACTTGATTGGTTAATTAGAACGACACGGAGGTTCGGAAAATCGAGGTTCGAGGAACCACACGAGGTCCAAAACCGAGACAGCCAGCTTCACGCGGTTCCTCCGAAGCAGGTTTTGCGTGCCCGACTGCGCCAAACCCCGAACCACCAGTCCCAGCGTGGCGCGTGCTGGTCTGGGCTGAGCTTGGGACCACAGTGCGGAGCGCTGGTCAAGCGTACAATGCTCGCACCAAGGAACTTCCCGCGCGAATTTAGGCGCCTTGGGAATGCTCAGCTGGCTGCACGGCTCTGAGCACTCTCTTCAGCGCCCCGGGTTCAGTCATTGGCAACAGATGCTTCCCGCGTGGCAATACGAACGGCGAGATGCGAGAGTTGCAGTCAAACTTGTATCAGGTCCGCGTACCCGACATAACATTTTACATGTGCACGATAACTCCATGCGACACAAGTGATAAAGGCTTTGCTACTACGCAAGGCTATGCAGCATATTGGTACCCATTGTTCTACTCCCAACAATGAGCCAGTTTCAACCGAAATATTGCCATTCTGCAACCTCCCCAGAGCATTTTTTCGGTTATGTGCTTACGGTCAGTTTTTGCCACCTGAGATGGTAAGTTCGTGACAGGTTTCGTCAATTCATTGGCGCTCTCATTCATAAATCTGCCCGCACATCGTACGGAAAACCGACAGAGCCAAGGGTGTGCTGCGGGGCTGACCGGGGCCCTTGAAAATTGCACGAACTCCCTCGAGTTTATAAACCTCCTTGAAAATTGCTCAACACCATCCCTTGAAAATGCCAGGCCCATTTTCAGTTGTAACATAGCATGGTGAAGTACGTATAACCTTAACATGGAAGCCGACTGGGAGTTAGATTCAGACAACGAGGGAAAGCGATGGAGTCTCGGCCCGGCGTTCGACGATGCGGGTCAGCTCTCAGACGACGATCTTCTCACTGACCTCGGGAGTACCGCCGCCATTCGAGGCGGCGATCTTCTCACTGACCTTAACGGTACCGCCATTCGAGACGACGACCTTACTACGAGCAACCTCGAGAGCACCGCCGTTAGCGGCGGTTTCACTAGTGGTGTCGCCGGAAGAGACGGCCAAAGTAGCGATGCGAGCAACGGCGCGGGGACAAATCGCACGCCGCAGGCCAACGGCGCGTCAAACCTTAACGGCTCGCTAGACTATAACGGGAATAGTGAAAGTTCTGATCGACCTGGAAACGAGGAGGCTTTGCGATCCGCAGGCGGCATAGACGGCGGAGCTGTCAGTCTAAGCGCCGCGGACGAGGGGAGGCAGTTCCAGCTCAATTTTGCGCGAGCCAACGGGTTGCGCGACGCCGGGGAGCAGAGCGTGAGGGTAGCTGCGCAGTTGGAAGTCTGCGCGGAGCAGAGCGGGGCTGGCGACGTGGGTGGCAGAAGGGAGGACACAGCAGATGGAACGCATGTAGCGGCAGTGGCGCCTGAATTGGCGCCGCATAGGGAGGAGCAGAGTGCTGAGTCAACAGGGCCGTCAGTGAGTTCACTCGCGCCCGATTTAGCGCCAGAAGAAACGTCCGCCGGGGGATTGGCAAACGGGAGCGGCGAGTGGGTGGGGAAGGAACCTGCGGAAGGTGTGAGGGAGGCCAATGGTGCAACGGATGCAGACGAGGGGAGACGAGGGCAAGGAAAGAGTGGTAGTGAGGAGAGCAGCGCAGTGAATAGGTCGGGGGAGATTAGGGTCGGTTTGAAGGACATAAAGAGGAGTGGCATGGGGAGTAATGGTGGGAGTGGGAGCTTTGTAGCGAGTGTGAGCGATAGGGGTAGCGGGAGCGGTATTGGTGGCGGTAAACCAAGTGACAAGGGGAGAGCAGTGATTGGAAAGGCGCAGGTGGGAAGTGGAGTGGGGGCGCGGATACAGACGGGCGAGGCGGGGGGAGCGGGAGGAGGGGGAGGGGCAGGGGGAAGGGTAGAAGGGGGATCGGGGCGGATGTCAGTCCGCCAGCAGAGCCCTCGCCCTTCCGCTGCCTTCGCCTCCCCCACACGCTCAGGCCCTGGCACCAGGGGGATAGCACCAGGGGGAGGGGGAAGCGGAGGAGGCGGAACAAGAGGGGCGCAGGGGGTGGTTGGCCGGTCGCCTTCAGAGGAGCGAAGGAGGGCAAACACGGGCAGTCCGGGCAGCAGAGGCAAGTCCGACAGCCCTGCCAGGAGAGGCAGTCCGGGCAGCTTGGGCAGCATTAAACGACCGGATTGGGCGAGCGGGATTGGCCCGCTGACCAGCAGTTACAGCCCAGAGCTAGCGGGCAGGAAAGCAGGGGGCGGGGGGATGGGGGGTTTGGGTTCTTTATCCCTGGACCGGCATAGCATTGCTGTGACTGGGAGGTGGAGTGATCCCGGGTGGTTGGGCATCAGGGGAAGGGCAGGGGCGCTGGGGGGGGCGCAAGGGGGAGTGCAAGGGGGAGCGCAAGGGAGAGTGCAGGGGGGAGCTTTGGGGGGAGTGCGGGGAACTGTGGGGCAAAGTGCGGAGAGAGCAGTGGTTGCAGGGAAGGGGAGTGGGCGCGTGGGGAGTCCGAGTGGAAGGAGGGATGCAGCGCCAGGAACAGCAGGGGGGAAGGCAGGGGGGAGATTCGAGGGGGCGGATAGGGCGGGTGTGAGTGGCGCAGCAGGGAGGGCCGGGGGAAGTCCTTTGAGACGAAATGGCGCAGCAGGGGGGAAGGCGGAAGAGAGAGCAGGAGGTGTTGGCGGGGGACGAGTAGGTGAGAGAGCAGGCAGTGGGGGCGGGGGTGGGGGACGAATAAGCCCTAGTCGTGTAGGCTCAACAGCGGCATTCGCATCCCCATCACTTGCAGCATCAGCGTCAGTGGCAGGAGGAAATGCGAGTGCAAATGCGAGTGCCCGCAGGCGGATAGCCTTTGGCAGCAGTGTGAGCTTCAACGCGGCTGCCTCGTCATATTCCCCCCCGTCAAGCTCTGTCGCTGCTCCCACTGCCGCCTCTCTTTCCAGGCGAGCCGCCAACCTCCGCTCCCACCTCGCCTCCCTCACCTCCTCCCCCACTTTCACCGCCCCTACTGCTGCCCCTGTTGCTGCCTCTGCCACTCGCGCAACACCTGCTGCTGCCGCTGCCACTGCAGCTGCTGTTGCTGGGGCTGGCACGTGTAGGAGCATGGGTACAGGGAGCAACAGTACCTCTGCATCTCAATCTGCGTCTCACTCTGCTTCTGCCTCTACCTCGGGTTCCGCGCCTGTCTCTGCACACCCCTCTGTTTCCAGCAGCCCAGTCGTTGCCCCAACGCCTGCCCCTTGCGATCCCCCACTGACTGCTTTTGAGGCGCCTCAAAAGTCGTCTCACTCTCAATTTGCCTCTGCCTCTGCCTTGGGTTCTGCACCTGCCTCTGCATACCCCTCTGTCTCCAGCAGCCCTGTCGTTGCCCCAACGCCCGCGCCTTGTGATCCCCCACTGACTGCTGCTGGGGTTCCTCCTGGCATTTATGAGGGTATGCAGGGCGTTTCCCCTGCTGTCAACAGTGCATCCTCATCATCTGATCCCTCCCCTGATGTGGTCAACACCACCAGCACCTTCACTTCTGCTGCTGCTGCTGCTGCTGCTGGTGGTGGTGGTGAATCCAATGCTGCTGTTGCCGGCAGTGATCGAATGGGTGACACTGTGAGTGCTGTAGATAGGGTAGGAAGTGTGGAGTTGGAGGTGGGGAGAGATGAGGGAAGAGAGGAGGAAAGGGAGGAGAGAACAGAGGAGGGAAGAGAGGTGGACGAAAGCGTGGTGGAGGAAAGAGAAGAGGATGAAGGGATGACTCTGCAGGAGATTAGGGGTGACAAGCAGGCGGGGACAAGAGATCAAGACCAAGTAGCGGAGGGATGGGAGAAGGAGGAGGAGGAGGAAGGCGGCAAGACAGACTCGCTAAAGACAGCAGAGAGGTCAACGCAAGCAGCAGAAGCCAGTGCTGCGATGCCTAACGCGATTCCCAGCATGCACAGCCTTGTGACAGCACCTGCTGTCACACCAGCAGCTGTAGTGTCATCCGCTGCAGCAGCATCAGCATCAGCATCACCAAGCAAGCCATCACAACAACCAGCGTCTCCAGTACCATCATTGCTATCACCGTCACCATTACCATCACCATCACGGTTATCATCACTGGCAGGGTCAAGAGGAGCATCATCACCAGCAGCAACGGGAGCATCAATGCCAGTATCATCACCAGGACGAGGAGGAGGAGGAGGGGGAGGGAGCTTGGGTGGCAGGGCAAGAGTGTCGCCTAGAGAGCTGCGGGTGATGCCGGGTCCTGATGTGCGCGGCACAGATGACACGGTGGGTGGCAGAGATGACACGGTGGGTGGCAGAGATGACACGGTGGGTGGCAGAGATGACACGGTGGGTGGCAGAGATGACACGGTGGGTGGCAGAGATGACATCCTGCCTCCTCTTTTCCCCAACCCCCTCTGCCTCCCCTCTCCGGCACATTGACCTGTGTTCGCAGCGCATTAGAAGCCGCAAGGCCAACATGCTGCACCTGCACACATTCCCCCTTCCCCATCACCCATGTAACCCCCCCCATCCCATCTCCCCTTTCCAGCACATTGACCTGCGCTCGCAGCGCATCAGAAGCCTCAAGGCCCACACGCTGCACCTGCACACACATGTGCCGTCGTCCTTCTCCTCTCCTCCCCCCTCCCCTCTCATCCCCATCCCTCAGTCCCCTTCTTCAGCGTGTGCTCGCAGCGCATCACAAGCGCCCCCCCTCAGTCCTCTTCTCCTCCTCCCTCCTCTTCTCCTTCCCCCTCCCCCCTCATCCCCATCCCTCAACTCCCCCCTACCAGCGCGTGGACCTGCGGTCGCAGCGCATCACAAGACTCAATTCCCACACGCTGCACCTGCACACACACGTCATCCGCATTCCCCCTTCCCCGTCACCCATGTAACCCCCCCCGATCCCACCTCCCCTCAAATCACCAGCGGGTGGACCTGCGGTCGCAGCGCATCAGAAGCCTCAAGGCAGATACGCTGCACCTGCCGCCTGCTGCTCAGGTGGGCTTGTGGCAGGTGCTGCTCAGGTGCTGCTCAGGTGCTGCTCAGGTGTGGGGCAGTGGGCTCACCGCGGCTGAGGCAGGCGCTATAGACTGTGTGGGTGTGCGTGCCTCATGGGGTCGCATGCCTGTTGATGCCCCTGCGCTTCTGATTCTGCTTGTGTGCCCTTATTCGTACTCCCGTTTGCTAACGTCTGCGTGTGCATGTCTGTGTGCGTGTGTGTGCGTGCATGTGTGTGTGCGTGTGTGTGTGTGTGTGTGTGTGTGTGTGTGTGTGCGACTGTGTGCATACATATGTGCATGTGTGCTTTCATCCATGTGTGCATGCATGCGTGCATCCATGTCACAGTTTGTGTATCTGAGGGGCAACAAGCTGACAGCAATGGACGGCATCGAGCGTCTCAAGAAGGTCAAGGTGAGTCAACGCTGGTCAAGGTGAGTCAACGCTGGTCAAAGCAAGCTCAAAGCGAGTCAAGGCCAGTGAGTTCAAAGGAAGCTCACAACAATGGACGGCATCGAGCGACTAAAAAAGGTCAAGGAGAGACAACGCTGGTCAAGGTGAGTCAACGCCGGTCAAGGTGAGTCAACGCCGGTCAAGGTGAGTCAACGCCGGTCAAGGTGAGTCAACAAGGTCAAAGCTGGTAAAAAAAGTAAAAAAAGGTGCTAACCATGAGCCACAACTCAGCCCCGTGCGTGCTCTCCCTCCTCTCTCCCCATCCCCGCTTCAAACCCTCCCCTTCAACCCCATCTCCCCCACCGGGCCCTAGACGTGAGCTGCAGCCAGCTGACCTTTCTGTTCCACCTCTCCATTCTCTCCAATCTCCCCCCCCGCGGCCCGCCATCCCCCCACCGCCCCCTTCCCCCTCCACCTCCCCAGGTGCTAGACCTGATCTACAGCCAGCTGACCTCACTCTTCCACCTCTCCCTTCTCGCCAATCTCCCCCCCTCCTCCACCACCCCAGGTGCTAGACGTGAGCTACAACCAGCTGGGAGAGGCTTCCCTGGCGCCACTAGCTGCATGCGCGTCCCTGCAGGTGAGTGACAGACAACGGTGAGGAGGATTTGAGTGCGGTGAGAAGGAGTCAGCACGGGGCGTGCACCACACCCACCCCAGGTGCTAGACGTGAGCTACAACCAGCTGGGAGAGGCTTCCCTGGCGCCACTAGCTGCATGCGCGTCCCTGCAGGTGAGTGACAGCGAGGCGGCGGTGAGGAGGAGTTGTGTGCGGTGAGAAGGAGTCACGTGTGGTGAGAAGGAATATTGTGTGGTGAGAAACAGTTGTGTGCGGTGAGAATGAGTGCATCCCATTCCTTATGTCCTGGACGTGAGTTACAACCAGCTGCCTCCTTGGCGCTGGTGCTTGATTGTGCCGTCGCGGATGGACTCGTTAAAGGTTGTTTCATCACAAAGCACAGCCCTGTGCTCTCTCAGTCCTGTCCCCACGCCAGGACTGCAGCTCCAGTCCCCAAGCCGGGATTGCAGCTCCAGTCCCCAAGCCGGGTCTGCAGCTCCAGTCCCCACGCCCGGACTGCAGCTCCAGTCCCCAAGCCGCGACTGCAGCTCCACTCCCCAAGCCGGGTCTAAAGCTCCAGTCCCCACGCTGGGACTGCAGCTCCAGTCCCCAAGCTGGGACTGCAGCTCCAGTCCCCACGCCGGGACTGCAGCTCCAGTCCCCAAGCCGGGACTGCAGCTCCAGTCCCCACGCCGGGACTGCAGCTCCAGTCCCCACGCCGGGACTGCAGCTCCAGTCCCCACGCCGGGACTGCAGCTCCAGTCCCCAAGCCGGGACTGCAGCTCCAGTCCCCAAGCCGGGACTGCAGCTCCAGTCCCCAAGCCGGGACTGCAGCTCCAGTCCCCACGCCGGGACTGCAGCTCCAGTCCCCACGCCGGGACTGCAGCTCCAGTCCCCACGCCGGGACTGCAGCTCCAGTCCCCAAGCCGGGACTGCAGCTCCAGTCCCCACGCCGGGACTGCAGCTCCAGTCCCCACGCCGGGACTGCAGCTCCAGTCCCCAAGCCGGGACTGCAGCTCCAGTCCCCATGCCGGGACTGCAGCTCCAGTCCCCAAGCCGGGACTGCAGCTCCAGTCACCAAGCCGGGACTGCAGCTCCAGTCCCCACGCCGGGACTGCAGCTCCAGTCCCCACGCCAGGACTGCAGCTCCAGTCCCCACGCCGGGACTGCAGCTCCAGTCCCCAAGCCGGGACTGCAGCTCCAGTCCCCACGCCGGGACTGCAGCTCCAGTCCCCACGCCGGGACTGCAGCTCCAGTCCCCACGCCAGGACTGCAGCTCCAGTCCCCACGCCGGGACTGCAGCTCCAGTCCCCAAGCCGGGACTGCAGCTCCAGTCCCCAAGCCGGGACTGCAGCTCCAGTCCCCACGCCGGGACTGCAGCTCCAGTCCCCACGCCGGGACTGCAGCTCCAGTCCCCACGCCGGGACTGCATGCACCTCCAGTCCCCACGCCGGGACTGCAGCTCCAGTCCCCACACCGGGACTGCAGCTCCAGTCCCCACGCCGGGACTGCAGCTCCAGTCCCCACGCCGGGACTGCAGCTCCAGTCCCCACGCCGGGACTGCATGCGCCTCCAGTCCCCACGCCGGGACTGCAGCTCCAGTCCCCACGCCGGGACTGCAGCTCCAGTCCCCATGCCGGGACTGCAGCTCCAGTCCCCACGCCAGTACTGCAGCTCTAGTCCCCAAGCCAGGACTGCAGCCCCAGTCCCCAAGCCAGGACTGCAGCTCCAGTCCCCACGCCGGGACTGCAGCTCCAGTCCCCACGCCGGGACTGCAGCTCCAGTCCCCAAGCCGGGACTGCAGCTCCAGTCCCCATGCCGGGACTGCAGCTCCAGTCCCCAAGCCGGGACTGCAGCTCCAGTCCCCAAGCCGGGACTGCAGCTCCAGTCCCCACGCCGGGACTGCAGCTCCAGTCCCCACGCCGGGACTGCAGCTCCAGTCCCCACGCCGGGACTGCAGCTCCAGTCCCCACGCCGGGACTGCAGCTCCAGTCCCCAAGCCGGGACTGCAGCTCCAGTCCCCAAGCCGGGACTGCAGCTCCAGTCCCCACGCCGGGACTGCATGCACCTCCAGTCCCCACGCCGGGACTGCAGCTCCAGTCCCCAAGCCGGGACTGCAGCTCCAGTCCCCACGCCGGGACTGCAGCTCCAGTCCCCAAGCCGGGACTGCAGCTCCAGTCCCCACGCCGGGACTGCAGCTCCAGTCCCCACGCCGGGACTGCAGCTCTAGTCCCCACGCCAGTACTGCAGCTCCAGTCCCCAAGCCAGGACTGCAGCTCCAGTCCCCAGGCCGGGACTGCACCTCCAGTTCCCACGCCGGGACTGCAGCTCCAGTCCCCACGCCGGGACTGCAGCTCCAGTCCCCACGCCGGGACTGCAGCTCCAGTCCCCACGCCGGGACTGCAGCTCCAGTCCCCACGCCGGGACTGCAGCTCCAGTCCCCAAGCCGGGACTGCAGCTCCAGTCCCCAAGCCGGGACTGCAGCTCCAGTCCCCAAGCCGGGACTGCAGCTCCAGTCCCCACGCCGGGACTGCAGCTCCAGTCCCCACGCCGGGACTGCAGCTCCAGTCCCCACGCCGGGACTGCAGCTCCAGTCCCCAAGCCGGGACTGCAGCTCCAGTCCCCACGCCGGGACTGCAGCTCCAGTCCCCACGCCGGGACTGCAGCTCCAGTCCCCAAGCCGGGACTGCAGCTCCAGTCCCCATGCCGGGACTGCAGCTCCAGTCCCCAAGCCGGGACTGCAGCTCCAGTCCCCAAGCCGGGACTGCAGCTCCAGTCCCCACGCCGGGACTGCAGCTCCAGTCCCCACGCCAGGACTGCAGCTCCAGTCCCCACGCCGGGACTGCAGCTCCAGTCCCCAAGCCGGGACTGCAGCTCCAGTCCCCACGCCGGGACTGCAGCTCCAGTCCCCACGCCGGGACTGCAGCTCCAGTCCCCACGCCAGGACTGCAGCTCCAGTCCCCACGCCGGGACTGCAGCTCCAGTCCCCAAGCCGGGACTGCAGCTCCAGTCCCCAAGCCGGGACTGCAGCTCCAGTCCCCACGCCGGGACTGCAGCTCCAGTCCCCACGCCGGGACTGCAGCTCCAGTCCCCACGCCGGGACTGCATGCACCTCCAGTCCCCACGCCGGGACTGCAGCTCCAGTCCCCACACCGGGACTGCAGCTCCAGTCCCCACGCCGGGACTGCAGCTCCAGTCCCCACGCCGGGACTGCAGCTCCAGTCCCCACGCCGGGACTGCATGCGCCTCCAGTCCCCACGCCGGGACTGCAGCTCCAGTCCCCACGCCGGGACTGCAGCTCCAGTCCCCATGCCGGGACTGCAGCTCCAGTCCCCACGCCAGTACTGCAGCTCTAGTCCCCAAGCCAGGACTGCAGCCCCAGTCCCCAAGCCAGGACTGCAGCTCCAGTCCCCACGCCGGGACTGCAGCTCCAGTCCCCACGCCGGGACTGCAGCTCCAGTCCCCAAGCCGGGACTGCAGCTCCAGTCCCCATGCCGGGACTGCAGCTCCAGTCCCCAAGCCGGGACTGCAGCTCCAGTCCCCAAGCCGGGACTGCAGCTCCAGTCCCCACGCCGGGACTGCAGCTCCAGTCCCCACGCCGGGACTGCAGCTCCAGTCCCCACGCCGGGACTGCAGCTCCAGTCCCCACGCCGGGACTGCAGCTCCAGTCCCCAAGCCGGGACTGCAGCTCCAGTCCCCAAGCCGGGACTGCAGCTCCAGTCCCCACGCCGGGACTGCATGCACCTCCAGTCCCCACGCCGGGACTGCAGCTCCAGTCCCCAAGCCGGGACTGCAGCTCCAGTCCCCACGCCGGGACTGCAGCTCCAGTCCCCAAGCCGGGACTGCAGCTCCAGTCCCCACGCCGGGACTGCAGCTCCAGTCCCCACGCCGGGACTGCAGCTCCAGTCCCCACGCCGGTACTGCAGCTCTAGTCCCCAAGCCAGGACTGCAGCTCCAGTCCCCAAGCCGGGACTGCACCTCCAGTTCCCACGCTGGGACTGCAGCTCCAGTCCCCACGCCGGGACTGCAGCTCCAGTCCCCACGCCGGGACTGCAGCTCCAGTCCCCACGCCGGGACTGCAGCTCCAGTCCCCACGCCGGGACTGCAGCTCCAGTCCCCACGCCGGGACTGCAGCTCCAGTCCCCAAGCCGGGACTGCAGCTCCAGTCCCCAAGCCGGGACTGCAGCTCCAGTCCCCAAGCCGGGACTGCAGCTCCAGTCCCCACGCCGGGACTGCAGCTCCAGTCCCCACGCCGGGACTGCAGCTCCAGTCCCCACGCCGGGACTGCAGCTCCAGTCCCCAAGCCGGGACTGCAGCTCCAGTCCCCACGCCGGGACTGCAGCTCCAGTACCCACGCCGGGACTGCAGCTCCAGTCCCCAAGCCGGGACTGCAGCTCCAGTCCCCATGCCGGGACTGCAGCTCCAGTCCCCAAGCCGGGACTGCAGCTCCAGTCCCCAAGCCGGGACTGCAGCTCCAGTCCCCACGCCGGGACTGCAGCTCCAGTCCCCACGCCAGGACTGCAGCTCCAGTCCCCACGCCGGGACTGCAGCTCCAGTCCCCAAGCCGGGACTGCAGCTCCAGTCCCCACGCCGGGACTGCAGCTCCAGTCCCCACGCCGGGACTGCAGCTCCAGTCCCCACGCCAGGACTGCAGCTCCAGTCCCCACGCCGGGACTGCAGCTCCAGTCCCCAAGCCGGGACTGCAGCTCCAGTCCCCAAGCCGGGACTGCAGCTCCAGTCCCCACGCCGGGACTGCAGCTCCAGTCCCCACGCCGGGACTGCAGCTCCAGTCCCCACGCCGGGACTGCATGCACCTCCAGTCCCCACGCCGGGACTGCAGCTCCAGTCCCCACACCGGGACTGCAGCTCCAGTCCCCACGCCGGGACTGCAGCTCCAGTCCCCACGCCGGGACTGCAGCTCCAGTCCCCACGCCAGGACTGCATGCGCCTCCAGTCCCCACGCCGGGACTGCAGCTCCAGTCCCCACGCCGGGACTGCAGCTCCAGTCCCCATGCCGGGACT